TTGTGATAGGGGCTAGGTGCATGGGGGCAGGGATGTTGAGTGTAGAGGGTTGTGGGGATGTGGAGGAGCGTGCGTAGGAAGAGAGGAGGGAATAATGGCGTGGATAAGGTGGAAGAGGTAGAGATTGTGTGCGTGCATGCGTGGTTGCAAATGTGAAGTGTGGGTGTAGCGTGGCGTTGTGGACAGCGTTGCCTTAACCTGATGGGGGTCACGTTGCGGGAGTGCGTGGAGAAACTTCAAGAGCTGAGCAGTCCTGCGTTTCGTGCAGCCAAGCTTCAGGCAAGACCCGAGGTGTCGGCGGACCCGCACATGGACCCGGGGTACGAATCGGACGTGAACGAGATGTCACCGCTGCAAGGTAATCCCGATCGTGGTGGGCTGTGGCATGTGAGGGAGCAGTGGAGTGGGGGTGTGAGTAGGCGTGGGGTGTGGGGTGGGTGTGGGAGGAGAGGAGTCGGGGGGATTGATGGTGATGGGCGTGTGATTGCTTGCAGTGGGTGGGCGGATGTTTCGGGCGAAGGGCGCAGCGAGCAGTCGATGGGAGAAAGGCGGTGGGAGCGGCGGCGGCGGCGGGGGGTGGGACGGTTTGAACGTGGAGGAGTCGTCGTTTTACCCCGGCAGGAAAGGCGATGCGGATGGTCAGAGATCGAAGTCGAGCTGGGAGGAGACGAGCCGGAGCAGAGGTTACGGTCGCGGTGGGTACGATGCAGGGCGCAGCGGCGAGAAGGTAGGAGCAGGTCGCGAATCGAGTTACGGTGTGGAGGCGAAGACGTACGGGAGCGACGAAAGGGATAGGCGGGTATGGGACAAGGATTGGGATAGGGAGCAAACGCGAGAGCAGGAGCGCGGTCGCGGGGATGCGTACAACTGGAGCAGCAGCGGCGGACGGAACGGGTTGGACGCGTGGGGCGGGGAGGTCGGGGAGGCGAAGTACGGGCGAGGAGAGACGAGAACCGGGACGACACCGGTGTTCGGGCAGCCTCGGACGGAGTGGGGGAGCACGAGAAGAGAGGCTGCATCGACGGCGAGTGTGTCGAGCACGCCGGTAGGTTTCGGTCCAGCGACGCCGAGCATACAAAACCTGGCTGCGTTGGAGAAGGAGAAGCTGTGGCACTACCAGGATCCGACGGGAACAGTGCAGGGGCCGTTCACGATGGAGCAACTGAGGAAATGGAACACGACAGGGCTATTCCCGGTGACGCTGACAATCTGGAAGACGGGTCAGTCGCAAGCGGAGTCGATGCTGCTGACGGACGCGTTGGCGGGGCGGTGGAAGGAGGAGATTTGGGGAGGTGGGGCGGGGGGCGCGGGTCGGAGCAGGTCGAGGGAATTGGTAGGAGGCGGGTCTCCAACGCCCCGGGCGAACTCAGCGTGGAGCGTGATGGAAGGGGGACTGGGTGCGAGTCGAGGCGAGGTGGGTGCAGCGGTGAGCAGCACGGAGTGGGAGTCCCGAGATGCAGCAGAGCGAGGTGGGAGCTGGGCGAGAGTTGCAAGCAGTTTCGGGGGCGTGTCTTCGGGGAGCGGACGAGCAGTGGAGGAGTGGAGCGGCGCCAGGGCCCGGGCGGAGCCGGAAAGTTGGGGCGGGCCGTCTCGGAAAGGCGACGGCAGTAGTTGGGGAGGGAGCGAGAGCGGGAAGAGCACGTACGGTCGGAGCAACTCGAGTCGCGAGTACGAAGGGGCAGCGGGTCGAGAAGGGTCTCGAAGTAGTCGGGGACCTCGAGGATCAAAGAAGGACGTGCCGTGCAGGTTCTACGCGAAGGGTTATTGCAAGAGAGGAGACGCTTGTGAATTTTGGCACGGTTGAGAGGAGAGCCCCGGGGAATGGGACGTGGGCGAAATTTTGTTATGAGATATTTATTCATTGAATACGTAGTGGAGGTGAGGTTTTGTTTGCAGTAGTAGTGATGTAGAGGGAAGCTCTCTTCTGTATGCTGCATACTTGATTTGGTTTTAGTGTAGGGTGGAACGTATTTGTGGACTTTGGATAGGGACGTGGACGTGGGAGGGGTTTGGTTTGAGATATTAGTTGTGGACGTTGTTAATATGGGCGGAAGCTTCGAATAGAGTCTGGTGCGCGGCATGCTTGATCGTGTCGTTGGACTCATTATGTTAAACGAGATTGTGATGGGTCGAATGGTGAAGGCCGGTATACCTCATTGGTGGAGTATTGTTGTCTGAGCCGGAGTTTGTGCAGACTTTGCAAGAATGTGAGCGGATATCGTGGATGGCGGTGGAGGGACTTCATTGCGTTTGAGCTTGGCTTAGTTTTTATCCCGTTGTTTTCCGCCCAGAATTCTGTTGCGAAAATTTTCGGAGTTCTTTGAATCTGTGGAGGTGTGATATCCGTGGCATTATTTCAGGAGTTTGACCTAACAGTCAAGATTTACTTTTTGAGCAGTGCGGAATGATTGTTCTTTGACAGTACATGTTGTGCCATGTAATTTGGACAGAATAGGTAGTTTAAAAATGCATTTGTTGTTTCGTTTTGGTTTTGCATGCATTTTTCTCTACAACTTCGCGGCACTCCATAAATAGTGTTGGGTTTCAATTTCTTCATTGTCCACGTGCATGGTCTCTTTTTGCATCGACACAAGCGCAGTATTGGCCCTACAGTGAGGTTCATTGCAAGTTAGTACAGATAAATAGGGAAGCTACTGATAGACACCCAGATGAAGGAAGTTGTACGCTGGAGGCTGCGACTGAAAGGGAGTTTACAAGAAATTCGATTTTCTGAACAGCCGCTGGACTTAATAATTTCTTGTGCGGAGCCGCATTGTGAGTTTGGGAGGCATTACCGGGCCTATTGCTTCACATGGCACTTAAGTCTCGGCCAAACGATTCACATGCATTCCACCTTATTCACAGACGGGTATACTCAGTATATCTGGCAGGGAGATCTGCAGACCTACGCCACCCACTTTCGCATGCGAGAGGATACAGTACTGTAATGTTCTCAATATCCCTTGCAATGCATGCTTGTTGACATAAGTTTTAAACTAGGGAAGGTTTACCGCATATATTGGGTCAGAGAGATAGAACCTCTACGCATAACTTCGCAAGCATAGTGATCGCGTTCGAATACTAAGTAGAAACACTGTACTCTATTAACAAGACACCGCACATTTACCTCGTGTTCCATACCGTCCGGCCGTGTGAAGCTCACCTTCAGCAACCAGTGCGAACAGTATGTTTAAAGCCCGTTACATAAGCTCAGAAGCCAAACGATTGGATGGTGCCACACATCGACAACAAAAGATAAGGAGTTCATTTGCGACGTAGAGACCGGGAGTTAAATTTGCTAGAGTTTAGGGTTAACACGTCCAAAGGCCTATGACGTGTATTAATTAATCCTTGCTTTACCATCTCAATAAAGGTGTTTATTAAGAACATAGTTATGAATTTATATGTGTATATGTATGTAAGAAATTATGGCAAAAAAACGACATAAATAGTTTCTGAAGAAAAAAAATAAACATTTTTATAATTCACAAGAATTGAAGCTACTCTAAAATATATAAGAAGAGTTTACCAATAAAAATTGTCTAAATTTTCTCACTTTAATTTTGTATTCCTAATTG